GAGAGACAACTCTTACTTGGAAAGAGAGGTGGAGGTAGCTGAGTAGTCAAATAAGGAGTTTTGCTTCATTATATATGGTAGACCTGAATTAGTTTAAAAATCAATGGAATGTGCTCAACTGACAGAGAGAAAAATAAAACAAATATGCAAGAAAGGGATAAATACAAGTAATTTCTTAATTAAAAACCTCAGTAGTATTTCACTGAAAATCCTAACATTTAATAGATGGAAGAGCTTACTTGTTTTGTTCTCACTGTGGCAGCATGAAAAAAGAATGAAGCAGAGTCTTCATTACCTTTCATCCAACAATAGTCAAGCTTTAAATTCTTTCATCAAGAAAAGTAAAGGAAGAAAGGAAAGAAATGGGAAAAAAGAAGAAAATTACAGTTTTATAATTTTAATTGGACAATCCCAAATTAAACCAAATGTAGAATAAAAAATAGCTGAATACTGTGGTGCTGGAAGCAACCAAATTGCTTATCAGTCAGCCACTAAGTATGTGTGATGCACCTATGGAGCTCCTACTTCCAGGCTCTGCTGTTTGACAGGGACATAGTTTGGGGTCTTTCCAGGAAGCTGGAGATTAGAAGACATCCCAAGGGCTGCAACCACTAAAAGATAACTTGGAGCATCCCTAGTTGGAGCCGCTAAGATCCAGGATAGTTTTGGAGCTTCTCAGCTGTTTTGTCTGAATAGTCAGACGTAAGAAATATAAGTGAACCCAGAGAAAGGCAGGTCAATCACTAGTTGAAATACATTTTCATAAAATTTTCTATGTTCCAGTCTTAATACTAGGGGCTAGCAATACTATAGTTAACAAAACAGAAATGGTTACTTTCTTCATGGAGCCTAACAAATACACAGGAAGACAAATATTAAATCATCACTTAACATTGAAATAAATAATGAAGCTGTTCAAAAAGCTACAGTGAAAGAAGATGTATATTTGATATTCAGGAATATTTGGGATTTATTAGTCTTGGTATAGGTAGAGAAAGTGATAGGAAGAATTTCACAATGGATTTAGGGATCAGGTAACTTGGCAGTGTGGGTGAGATTTACTAACATAGAGAATCTAAAACAGGAGCCAGTTAGGGAAAGGAAGGTGAATTCAGTTTTGAAGATGCTACATTTGAGATGCTTGTGAAACAACCTAATGCAGATATACAGTAAACAGTGATAAAAGGATCTGGAGTTTAGCATAATGATCTGGGCTAAAAAGACAGATTTTCTCCTAGTTGCCACTTTGCCCAAAGGAGTCCCAGATCTAACTACTGCTGCCACCAATGTCTAATTGATGAAGGCAGCATGGGCAAAGAAGGAAGAGATTCTTTCAGAATTCCTTTTATCATGTAACAGTCTGATTCAATAATCAAAGCTTGTCTTAAGGAAAATTATGAGAGACAGGAAGTGTCTCCTATACATACTCCATGCATCACCATGGTAATCTTCCTAAAACATAAGTTTCTGATGTTTTCATCTCGCTGATACACAGGATAAAAATAAAGCTTCTAAATGTTGGGTTCAGGATCTTTTGTCACCTGGCTTTTTTCCTTCTATGTACCCCCATAATTTCCAGGACCCATTCCATGTTACATACTTTTTTTTTCTACAACCACATCAACCTTCCTGCAGTCCATCTAACAAACCCTGCTAAATGAGGGATGGCTCATGCCTCTTTACCTTGTTCATGCTGGTACTTCTTCCTCAAACACCTCTGTCCCCTTGTTCTGCCTGGAAAACTCCCAGTCTTCTCTCAAGTTCCTGTTTCGTTTATTCACTCATTCAAAAAACCTTCTTAGCCCTTCCTGTATGTCATACACTCTCTTAGATCTTTGGTATATAGAGGCTTACACAAGAAAGATATTATCCACCCACCCTATGTTGTATGTAGCATACCCGAAGAGGACACACAGAAGGGATGTGCTATATACTTCAGTTTTTCCCCATTGGGAGATGGTAAAAATCTTTATACAATATGTTCAGAAACCTGTTTCCTTTTGTTGAATGCTTATACATTCTGGATCTCTCTTTTCCTTGCCTTGACCAAATTCTGTTGATCTTTTTTCACAAGTTTTTGACTCGTGCTGTTCTGCCCAGGTACAGTATTTTATTTTACCATGTCGTTTAATCTTGTTATTTGCTTTTTTAATTGCTCAAAGTCCACTATGACTTCCATAAAGGTTTGTTGCTTCCAACATAACAAATAAAACGCCTGCCACTACTTACCCGGGGCTGGCCTTTTCTCCTCTGTTTGCAAGACTGCAACCTGTCTCTCTCAGTCTGTCTCTCTCTGTGTATGTGTGCATCTGTCTAAGTATTCTAAATTATTTTCTCATTTGACAGACACGTAGACTACATACATTTCTATATAACATCAATAGCCCAGGATTTCCCATGTAACCATTCAATGAACTGTCAACTATGCCCTCGTATAGGACACCGCTTTCTTCACTTTCTAGTAACACCAGCCTTATCAGTGTTGACTAATTAAACACACCTTGGCCCCCCCATCCCCCTATCCCTCAACTCTCTATATTGGCCACAGACACACTATGTGCTCTACTTCCTGGCATCAACAGTTGGAATCCGTACCACACTGTAGAGAATTCTACTTAAGCATACCAACATGGACAAAAGTCAAATGCAAAGTGAAGAAGTGACTTCAATCTGTTTTTAAGATTATTGTCACATATTAGGAAAGGTTATTTTGTCTCTCAGTTGCTTGAGAAGCCCTGAATCATCAAATAAATAAGATATTTGAAATGTAACAAAAGACCCTGCTTTCATGCATTAAGGATCCAAAGTCTGTATGTCATCACGTGGGCTTATGGGAACTTTAATAACATTTATATTTCAATGATCTTGACATTATGTCTTTGAAGGTGTTTGGAAATAAAACTAATAGAGCTGAACAAATAGAACTTGTTTGTAAATAAGAGCTCTTCCTCACAGTCTAGTTATGTGAGCAACTTGCAGATAACTGTAAACATAAGTAATTTGTGGGAAAGCAGAATAACAATTTTGAAGGTCAAAATGTGGCCCTTCCTAAATAAGTGAGATATAGAGGTAAGATAAAAGGGCATATCTGGATAAAGGGTTTGTTTAAAGCCAATGCCAAGTCTCTTCATGAAACTCAAAAGTCAATCTCCGTAAGTCTCGCTGGTTTTCAGTATAACCAATAATCCTTTATTCAAAAAAAAATTTAATGTTGATTAGTTAGAACAGATGCTATTGTGGCCAATGTCATGGAATCAAGTTCCTAAAATGAGGCTAAATTTCATTCTGTTTCAAAACTGCCCCTGCACTGAGTCAGTCATCTTGAAATTACATACCTTTGATCACACAAGAGTGGACAGGGCTATTTAAATGACTTAACTCCAAATCACTCTGGCTTGGCTGGGGAAATGGTCAAGAGAATACACTCCTCAATACAGTGTTTTTAATAAAAGAGAAAAAACAAACTAAAAACTGGTCTATCTACATATTGGGTGGTCATTTTACATAAGCAATAAAAACAAGTATATACCCAACAGAGAGAAACGCTTATTATATCATGCAAAGTAATGGCAACAAAAATTAAACATACAGCATGATTACAATTATTTTTAAAGTATTTATATATTCAGATAAATGCTGAAAAGGTATATACAAATATGAAAATGTAAGTTACATTATTAAGGAGGAGAAAATTATGGGCAACTATCCTCTATTTTCTAAAATGTTTATAATACTATTACTTTGTCTATATAAAAATAATTAACGGCATGCCAAACTGACAGGGCTTCAGGGGTAAAATCTTTATATACCACAGACAGTACTTTATTATTGCCAAGGGAAGAAGTGCTGCCATTCTATTTCCTTCTAAACTTTATTTTAATTAAAACAGAAAGTGATCTTGCAACAGTCCGAGATCAAATAAATGTCAGCTCAGCATTTGTGGAAAATGCTAAGACTAGAGGACAACGATGAATTAGCCTAATTCAGAGACTAATAACATTATAGAGTGAACTGTCATCTCACTGCTTACATGTAATGTGTCTCTGTGAAGCAAATGTGGATGGATGTAGTGGAGGACTTCTACCTCTATTACCAAAATGGCTGAGGTGTTCGTGATGGTTTATAATCAGAGACCCAGATTTTATTATCCTCAGCTATCACAAGTGGCTATGGAATACTAAAATCTCACTACTAGGATATCCTAGAAATTGATGGATGCAAGACTGACAGCACTAAAAATGAGGATTCTAGGTTTTTGTGGGAAAACCTAAAATAATGGAAAATGAGCACAATTTTTACACTCTACACATACTTAATAGAATGCACACATCTATAGTTAAGGTAAATCAATAGAAATAATTGTGTTGCTCTCCATGCTTAATATTTTATTCTTGAGAAGCATTTAAAATCCTAGATTAGTGCCCAAAAAACTTGTATTTTATAATAGTACTGATCACTACATTTTGTCCAACATTTTATAGTGTTCAAATATATTCACATATTTTATCCCACATGATCATTTCATGAACCCTCTGAGGATGTAAGGCAAGCACTGTTACTCATATTTTAAACAGAAGAGCAAAAGAATTTAACTAATCAGCTGCCACTCAGCTGGAAAGTGGAAGAGATCAAAGTTAAATCCAAGGCATCTGCCTCCCACAAATAACATTAAAACGATTAGAGAAGAAAGCTAATTTCCATCAAAATTTGTATTTAAGACACAGCTTTGACTCTCCTCTTAGCTCTCTTCCTACCCAGAATTCCTATACACTCAGTGAGGCTCCTCCTTTGCTGAAGGGAGAAAACTCATTCACACTAATGTGTTAGAAAGATACTGACTATGCCCTCAAGTTTGCCTTTGCACTGGGGATGCTAGGAGAGCACTCTTTAAAAAGAATGCAATGAACTAATGGTAGAATTTCTAAAACTGCTAAAAACAGAGGAAAAATATTTTGGGGGCCTTCAGATCATACAACAGTAGGAGCATTTGTTCTACTTACAAGGCTGACCCTGTACAGCATTCTCATCAATTTGGGATGCCAGCTGTGATATACTGCAAAGAAGAAAATAAAGTTTAGCCCTACCACATACAAGCTGTGTGACCGAGAATAAACAAAATCAAATGACTTCGAGCCTCCATTTACTCATCTGAAGAATGGAAGTTTTTATTTACAGTGTTGGAGTGAAGATAAAATGAGATAAAACTTCATTTCAGGAAAGGGGTGATCATTATTCTTAATATTTTCAGCTGGTTGTTTTAGAGGCTTTTATCCTCTAAAATCAAGTTACTTCCTTTACCAATGTTGTTATTCTAGAAGCAGCCTCATAAATTTTACAGTTTACTGTTAGCATTACAAAGAAAAAGCAACTCATCTAATATAATGAATGTGTTATAAAATCCCTTTTTATAACTTTGAGAATTATCTAGGAAGCTTGGGAATTTGCATGACTTCAAAGTATTCGAAATACATGGGGTTTTTTTTTTTTTGCATTTCCTTACCACAAAGAAGGCACCCAGCATATTTCTAATAACATATGGTGCTACTGATTTAGATGGATACATGTAGATATTTACATACATGTATCATACACACGTCCATCTTCTAAAATATAAACCCATCAAGTCTATTAACTCCATCCCATTCCCCCCAATGATTATCATGTTTCAACAGTCCTTAGGGCACACAGCTGACAATCTGTCTTACAATGTTAATGTTCTCCAACTTGGATGGTATGTATTCATCTGTCTGTGTGGTGTAGATTTGAGGATCTCCAGGAAGTTTGTCCTATCATATAATTTCCTCCATCTCCTGGCCTACATACGTCATGTAGTTTGCATTAAACATGCATTAAACATACAGTAAGTGTCTAACTACCATTTACATAAAAATACAAATATTCCTTAAGATATTATTTTTATCATATCTTGTCCTTAATTCACATTTTTTTCACTCTTATCTAAAAGAGATGTTTTATGAAGATGAGATACAGCGGTAACTGAAATTTGAGAGACTAGTGAGTTAAGTGTAGAATTTAGGACACTTACAAGACTAGGTACCTATGGGTGTTTTAGTAAGAGGGCAGCAAAAGAGAGGGTATCATTAAAGCTTGTAATATACAGTGCTGCCTTCCTACTTAGCATCTATTCCCTATTCCCCCCTCCAAACAGCACCTCAATTTGCTCCTTTCCCCTTAGATAGCCCACTGTGCCTCCAGGAGAGCCAACTCCATCCCCCAGGTCTGGAAATAGACCTAACTGGACTAAAGGCAATCTAATCTTCCTCCTTCTAAGTGACTGGTTCATAAATGGGCACATGGCTCATTGAGGGCCAATGAGATTTCCAATGAGAGGCCTTTGGTGTGAGACAGGGGCGCAAGTCAAAGTACTTTTCAGTTGTCTGGGAAAGCTTTCATAGAAACTCCTCCTTCTTTCTCTTTTGCATGCTGTCAGGCACAAATATGTCAAGTCATAGGAAGAAGCCAACAGTTAGAGGGAAGCCTAGTAAAGAGAATCACAAGAAATGGTGCAAAGATACCGGATGAAGTGTCCCTGAAGCTCACCTCATCTTTTGCGTTTCTCTTTGTGTGAGCCAGTCTGTGTCTTCACTGCATACCCCTGGTGGAGTTGATTTTCTGTGATTTCAGGCCCATGTAGCCCAAATGATATGGAGCAGAAGACAAAATGTTGTATGTTTGGGTTCCACAACCACCATACTCTGAGCAGGCATGTTTTTAAAAAATCACAGGCATCTATACCATTTGTCACTTGTTATAAGTAAAAGCTAGACAAAGAAAAGACACATGACACATGAATGTCCAAGGCACTGCTGTACAACTAACAAAATCTGGGTTGAAATATTCCTGTCTCTCCCATCCTGACACTTTCTTTCCCCTGGATTGCATTTTTTTTCAACATTTAGAGCATCTATAAATTGGGGAAATGATCTACAAAAATGTCACCTTCATTTTGCAATAATTTGAATATATAATTATTCATCCATCTAAGAAAAACAATCCATTTTAGAAAATTAGTTGTTGAGTATATAAAGTGCTTTCATTCTTAGAATCCATAATGTGATTTGGCTGGATCATAATTAATGCTTTCTAGCATGGTTCTTATAAAGGTGTCTCTCCAATCAGATCTGACAGCCTACTTGTCCAACTTGGCTCTTATGCCTTCAAGATCTTAATAAATAGAAATGAACTTGAAAGCTGCTCCAAATAAGAATGTAAAATTCAATATAGTATTTCTACCTGATACCTAATATTTTTATGTATGTGATACTGTTAATGTCATAACAGGAATAAATAGACTTATTTTTAAGTTGTTTTCATTCACAAAGATTACGTTAATTCCTTACTAAAGGAACAGTTAGAACCTTAACACAATTGCATTTTGCAATCTCTATTTTTTTACTCCATTATATATGTATGGCTTTATTTTTATAGTAAAAGAACATTTATAATGGTTGTACTAAATAATATTTTGCAGCTAAGGTACACAGTATAATAAATTACTAATAGTATAATAAGTATGTAAAATTCTATCTTGGCTCACACCCAGTGGACTTTAATTATTAAGCTATTTAAACTGATTATAAAACAGGGTTTCTGAGTAGCTGATACTCTAGTCAATGTTAACTATTTGAGAAGACAAGCAAAGTCTCAATATATATCTATAAATCATAAACTTTTAAAGTTTTTTGAACTTTGTATAAATGCTTGCTATTGAAATATTACACTGCATTCCTAATACCTCTAGATAAGAGCCTACATTTGGCTCTACATTTAGTACCTTCTGGAGACAATTCCATTTGATAACATAGTTTCCACGCCTGTAGTAAACTCTTTGACTAACACCGCCCACGTGAGTTCATGTCACGGTTCTGGTGACCCAGTCTGCTACCTGGCCTAATAAGGATTTCTCTCAATCTGTTGCTTCAGGTTGTATTGTCTGGGTGCCTGTTTCAGGTAGGGACATTATCTTCCATCAGTTTGAGAGACAGATTCTGGTGCTCCCAAAGATCAACAGAGAAGCGTGAACTCACAAGGACACTCCCAAATAGGTCCTCTATATCTTTAAAATACAGGGACTCAACAACAAATAGGATAATTCACATGGCTAGCTATCGATGCCATCCTTAGGCCAACAACAAGGCCACATCGGTCTTAAGCAATGTTTAACAGTAAAAGGAATAGAAAAGCAGTGGCCCTTCAGTTAAGATTTCTCATGCTTGCTTACCGTTTTCATTCACTGCATCATTTCGTAGACATGCTGAGACACACACACTGACTTAATCATGGAGATGAGTTAGTGAATGAGACTGATAAAATTGCAAGAGAAAACTTGGGATTTAATGTATTTGCTTTCTGAATCTGAAAGCCCTTAATAAGTGTCCACAGGCAAGGGCCTCACTCCACATTATTTCAGAGGTTAAGCAAGATATTCACAGGAGAAAATCTTAGTTATTTAAAACTTACTTCTTTAACATATAGATACAAGTTTATCCTCCAGAGACATAAAACATTAACTGCTACAGTGCAGGTGGTTTCTCTCTTCTCTACCACCATCAAAATGACTTTGACAAAAATACTGAAGTAAGGGAATCTACCTGATCTAAAACCAGAAGGATTCTAAGTTGGGTGTACAAGATCTGCTGACTTAGGATTTTAAACACTAAAAATATTTCAAACGAAGAGCTTTAAAGATATAAAATTACCTATCCTCTAAGAGTTGGGTAAACTACTAATATAAGAAATAATAAATGAGACAGGACTCAAGAGGGATCCTTTGATACTGCTTATCAAAACAAACAAACAAAAAGGAAAGAACTTTTTACATTTCTGTGAAACTTCCAGAGGATGATGTTACTTGGTATCAAATAGAACACCATAAGCACCGTAAAATAAGATTATGGGAAGTTGCAAAGAAAATGGTAGCTACCCTTTAAGAAGTGAGGAGAGGATGTCAGAAAGATTTAGGTAATTTACTGAACATATTACATCTGCCTTTCAAGTAAAATCTCTAACTTAACATAATCCATTACTGTTAACGCAGAAACCAAAAAGAAAGTATTTTTCAGAGTCATGAGTTAAAACAAATTATGTTCTTTGGACAAATAAGGTTTAGGAGAAAGAGTCTTGTGAAAAAATAATGTCAGGAGTTGTGAAAAGAAAGCTTATTGCCGTTTAAAACACAACTAGAGAAAAACATTCTTTAGAGACAAATGCTGGAAACCTGCTACCTTTGTAATACAGGTGAACTCCCAAATATCTAACTGACCAGGTGTTTTATTTTGAAAGCAATGCAGTGGTACCACAACCTGTCAAAACATTGGATTCCACACCATATGCCCATTCTAAAACTGTAAAGTGGAAGTTCTTTATACCTGCCTCAAGTCTTACCTGAAATCAGACCATGGAGAAAGCAGCAAGGGAGGAGGAGTTATAAATGACTGCTCTGCCAAGTTCAAGTTAAAAGGCAAGCATGTAAATCGCTCAGAGGCTAAAAAAGATTCCTCCCTATGGCAGAAGAAGAATGTTTGTTTACACCTTTATAAATAAAGTTCTGTCAAGCTGCGAGGAAAATATACTCATATCCATAGGGGTAGCCAGGGAGCCAGCCCTGTGAATCTCCAATACAATCTATTTCCACACAAAGGACATTCTCACCAGCTCCCTCCTGGGAGAGTAAACAATCGCTAATCATCCCAGATGGTGTGAATCTAAAGTTATCAGTGACAGATAATAAATCAGAGCATTCTGATGTGTGCCATGCTATTACAGTTCCAATGAATTCACACCGATGGGACATTCAAAGCGCTAAGTAGCATAATTAGCTACAGATAATTCCAAGACATTAATCATGCTTGGGATAAATCCTTGGAACAAACATTGAAGATATTCTTTATCATATATACAACTAAATGCCTGAAAGGGACTAATTTGGTACTGGGCTTATAAGCATGCAGGCATTCAGGATGAACAGCACCTTTTAATACCCAGAATGATATTCTACCATATGTTTTATGAAATAAAGGACCCTTCCACAAC